GTTTGTCACAGCTCAGGGTGTGACCCTGGGGACCACGTCCTCCACCTGGTGAGTCAGGATCACACAGGTGATGGCTGCTGCCCCGCATCAATACAAAAGGATGTAAGAAAATGGCAACAAGACTTGTTCCATTTGAGCACGCAGTGTTTCTCCCCAAAGGGAAGAGTATTTTAGCAAGTGATGCGGAAAGAGAAAGACTGAAAACTGCAGTCTTTGGCATGGGAATTCTTTTTCACAGTGGTCTCAAACACACCGAGGCCTAGGGAGAGCACATTTTAGACATCCGTATCAACCCTTGTCCTTGCAGTTCATTGAGGCAAAGTGTCATTTTCAGCTCTAATCATCAGAGGCCAAGCTACGTGGTCAGAAACGAGACAGGGGGAAGTGCCAAGTTCACCTCTGGCTTTAGGCACATGACAGTATGAAGTTCTCTTGCCCCTGAGTGCCACGCAGACAAGGCAGGAGCCACTGCGGCACCACAGCCAAACACAACACTGCTCTCAGACCAAAAGTGAGAGCTCCCCAGGGTCGAGTGGAGCAGTGCTGCAATGCCCCGTCCTGTGGGCAGCATGGTCACAGCACCACAGCTCCGAGACCAAATGTACCTTGAGCATTTTCTTATTCGCCGTGTTTTTGCCACACTCTCTTCTCAGCTGCTCGCTCATGGCTTGCAGTTCTCTCCCCAAGTGGATCATCCTCTCGATTGCCTGGCTGCCGCCACAGAGCTGACGCCGTAACTGACTCGAGTCTACTTCTGCAAAGAGGACATCGTCATCACCACCACCCACCCAGCTGGGGGGACAACCCACGGCTCCAGAGCTGACCCACGCGCTGGCCGCACCGGCCTTCTGAGGGAAAGCAGCGGGGCCAGAGAGCTGCTGTGACACCCCACACCCAGCAGCTCCCTCAGGATCCCCTTAACCCACAGCACAGGCTGCCTGCACACCCCGCTTACTTCCCCAGCACTGACTTTAACCAGGCTAAACACCAAATTTTACCCTAAAATTCTGTGCAAGTCTAAAAATCAATAATAGCGTCAATAGAAGTTTGCACAGTTCTACCTTTTTAATTCTCTGGCATTGCACTTCTAAAGAAACCCCAAATCCAGGACTGCTAACAGAGGGCAAGGACCCATGAACCTCCTCAGCAGCCACAATAGATGTTGCTACAAGATAATCATTTACACTCTTCATTCCCCTTGTAGAATATATTAGCTTAAGAATTTGGACATTTCAAGCTTCTCTGTAATCCAGCAAAACAATACAGTTTGTTTCTTTACTGTTTCCTGCAGTATTCCCCAATCTTAGTGATTTTAAAAGATTAATGCTATTCATGACTAGCAAATTGACCCCTGGCTTCCCTGAAAGTTCTACCTTTTTAAATTTGCAAGTAAAGCAACCAGGTAAAAAAAAAAAAAATTCTATTTCCTTGCCTTTTTTCCCTCATTGGAATCAAATTTTGAGGTATCCTTTAATTACAAAACTATTTTTGTTTCTGATTTTAGCACTGCTATCCAGTTATGTGTGTTGACCATTATTTCAAACAAGGATTTTTAAGTGGTCACTGTCTTTTTTTTTTTTCTTCTTAGATGTGAACATATCACCTCTGGAAAAAAATCTGCCTACTTAACGTCACATACACAGCACTAAGGAGAATAAATATTTTCAAAAATCAAAACCAACACCAAAACCCCCACCAGACTCAGCCTGGGGGAAGTAGGCAAAGTAGGCTGAGGAGCCACATTTCCCCTTCACCGCGGTGAAGCCCCCACAGGTGCCCAAGCACTGGAGGTGGCTGCTAGTGCAGCACTGGGATCTAGGACATCCCTTTCCAGAGGCAGAACCACCACCAGGCTAAAGCCCCCACAGCAGCTCTGCCCGGGCAGCTGCCCCAGGCCTGTCACAGCAGCATCCCCCCAGGGCTGTAACCCAACTCTCTGCTTCAGCACTCGTTTGTCACTAACAGCAACAGGTCTGATGGAGTGAGTATAAAGCAGGTTAAGCAACACAAAGTTATTTTTTAGACTGTAGCTATGTAAAACAGGATGGTGGTTTTGTTGTTTGTTTGTTTTTTTTTTTTTTTTTAAAAACCCATGTCAGTTTGCCAATGCAGCTCTTTCCTTGAGCACATAGTGTTAGCACTTTGCATCCTTCAGAACAGGTGATTTGAAATTTCTGGTCTTAGGAAATTCAGCGCCCAGATGCCACGAGAACCACAAACAGCAAGGGGAAGAGGGAGAAGGAATCTGCCACCCCTGACCCAGCCGTGCTATGCAGCAGCACGTTTCTTCCCCAAGGTAATTCCTTAGAAATGAAGGCTGGTTTCAGCATCTATGAGCCACCAATTTCCCCTGCCCTCACTCTCATGTCATATCACCTAAATCAGTGGTTATAAGATTTACATCTAACAACAGCAAAACAAACACAATTACGATCCCAGCTAACGTTCCTAATTTTCAAGTTGGGAAGCATTGCAAGTAAAAACATAACCTTGTTGCCATCACTTAATAAAAATGTAAGAAATATCACTGCAGACCCATTTCTGTGTCACATTCTTCCATTTCGTGATCATGTTTAGAACTACCATTTAGGAAGCCATTGGATGAAGTCTCAGCAACCCCATTGGAGTAGTGATCTGTTTCCATGTCTACATCATTGCTGAAAAGAGAAATAAAAGGATTTACTCATATTTACATACTCAGGGTTATCTTCTTCACAACTTTAGCACACTCCTTTCTTGTCTTGGCTACTGAAAAGCTGCTTTTAAAATATTACCAGGCCAGACCACAGCTTTTACCATAGCAACTGGCAATGTCAGCACCAGGGAAATTTTAAATGGCTCTCAACTAGTGGTAGTGTTCAGGAAAGTAACATTTTCAGATCCTTAAAAATTAAACAGTGCACTGTTACTCAGTAAGTAGCATTATACTTTCTAAACACACACCAAGCACTTAAGAAGTTTTTACCTTGCTTATATCTCTGTACAAACACAAGAGTTGGAGAAAACAGCTTAAGAAAGTGTATTATTCCACTTTTTTTTTAAAAAAAAAAAGGAAAGAAAAATCCCCAAACACCATAATTAACTCAATATACAGCCTACTTTGGGAATATCCTATTTAGGTAAATAATACTTTCAAAAAAGCCCTGCTCTCTCATTTACCCTCAGTGGGATGGCAGGAGAAAAGAAGAAAAACCCAAAGCAAAGTCTGAGTAAAGCCAGACCCAGAAGGGGTACTCAGGGGTGCATTCAGAGCACACAGCCCCTCACCACACCTGGCTCACAGCAGGTCACAGAAGCACTGGCAGAAAATGCCAGCGAGGCTCTGGGCTGAGCTTCACTGACAGCTGCCTCCTAGCCTGCTCTGTTTTGTCACAGAGAATGGCAGCCTAAAACCTCTCTCAAGACCAAAAAAAACCCAATTCCATTTTCAAGTTTAGCACTTTGTTTCTAAGCAAGGGAAAATACTCAGCTTTCTCTGAGGAAGGAAACCCAAAGGCCTCTCTGGCTGGGCAACTGCAGCCGAGGAGCAGTCTTCCTCCTGTGAGAAGTCTCAGAGCTGCCTGGACACTGCCAGGCTGTGGCAGAGGCAAGTGCTGGCCCACACAGAGAATGAAGTGAAAAGGAAATTGTTACTCTTACCTATCCCCCCCCAGCCATCACTATCTGACTGAAATACTTTGTTACCACCACCACACCATAACACCCCAGCTGGTGGTTTGGGGAACCCATCTGCATGCTGTCCTATTTCACATCAGATGAGGTTCTGCTGCATCTGTGCAGCCCAGAGCTTAATATGTGTTGGTTATAAATAATCACATTGACTGTGGTTACTAGATCCATTTTCATTCTCCTGTTGGAACATGCTGGCACAAGTGACAGTGACTGGAGCAGGCAAACAACCCTCGTGGGGGCAGTGGAAGAGACCCCACACTCCACACACAGCTCCCTTCTGTTTACTTGGCAGACACTGCCACAAACGGGGAGTTTTCCAGGTACTTCTCATGCACTACATGCAATGTGTTCAAATCAGTATCAGGGGCTTCAATTAAAAGCCCAAGTGCTAGAGAGCTACTTAATCTTCACTGTATGGACTTCAAATCTGACCAGAAATTACTGTAAGCAAGGTAATTTATTTCTGTCCATCACATTTCTTTAACCAAAGAGGAGAAAACAGTCTGCTGAGCCTGAGAAGTGAAAAACAAAGCACAGGAGAGCAATCACAAGCCGTTGGCCCCTCGCATGAAAAAAGTCCTTGAAAAAAAGTCACATGAAACCCCACTGAACACTCTTCCCTGCACAACTCACGCCTTAGAAATTGGAAGCATCTGGAGTTTACTGACCTGCAGTAGCTGTTAACCTGCTGAGATCTTGATACGTTTATGTTGTTGAGCTCTGGTACATTCAGGCTGGTGGCCGTGTGTTTACTGTGACAGTACGACTGATGCCCCTTATTTGATATTACACCATTACTGCAACTACTTTCAAACCCTGAAAGAAAGTTTTAAGAATTGAAATCATCTACAAGCTTACTTCTAAGTACCGATTTATAGAGGTGAAGTAATTACAGCTTAATTGTGTCTGGTCAGTAAACGCTGGGTTTGCCAAACAAACCCAAATACTCGGCCCCTGTGTTCCACACATTTGAACCTTTAAGGCTTTACAGCACAGAAGCTGAAAGTTATTTAACAAGTACTAACACAGGAGGTTTTTCAGTTGTACTCATGCTGGTAGAACAGAAAACTGCATCAATATAGAGTCATTTTTTAGAACTGACAGATTTTTTTCTGAAAGATCTGAAAATCTTTTCTAGGCCACTGTAATCATTGTGAATGGAAGCAGACATGCATCCTTAATAATTCCTAATCACATCATTCCCTTGATAAATATGCAGTAAAATTCAGTGCTGAAAATACTTTACATGTTGCCACACATCAATACAACCTCTCTCCTTCCCCATATAATTATTTCATTTGTTAATATTGTGCTTTGCTAAATAAAATTACACCATGCTGTGAAATTACGACGTCTGGCTAAAATCTCTTCTGACCCTTCTAGAATATAATCAAGAAAATACCAGTTGCAGCAAACGTAATTGCCAGTTCCATCAAGCCCAGAAGCAGGAGCTCCCCAGCATCTTCTAATATAGAAACAGGTCACAGGAAGGGCTCATTATAAACAAAATAGTTGCTGCCGTTCAGGAAATCCCAAACCTCAATTCTAAGAATACATTCATCAACTTGCTTATGAAGTGGTGTCTCTGCTTCCAGAATCAGACAGTCAGAGATACTTTCTCCAATACACCCCAAGAACCCCCCGAGAGACAAACAGCATATCTGAGCAGAGCTCCACTCCCACACGTGGCAGCAGAGTCCTGGCACAGAAGAACAGCCAAGCTGCCGCCCTTCCAAGGGCAGCAGGTCTTCTGGTGGCCTTGCTCCACTGGCTCCCTGCTCACTCCCACTGACCCTCTGCCACCACCCAGACACTCCCAGAGCTGCTCCAGCTGAGCACACCGAGATGTGGCTGCCAGCACAAAGTCCTTTACCTTACCCCACCACCTCCTTCTGGGATTTCCTTCACAACAGCAGCTGTTCCTGCTATTCCATCCATACCACAGGAAATGGATGTTACACACCACTTAATGCATTCAAACCACCTTGGCCAAGCCATAAACTACCCCTGAAAAGGCAGCATAAATTTGTGAAAGAACCTTCCACTTCCTGGAAGTGAGTGTTTCTTAGAAATCTGTGGCAACTGACTTTGTAAACCCTGAGTAAAACCAAGAACACAGGTAAAAAAGGTTTTATTCTATTTATACACTTTCCACTTGCCCAGTGAGTGAGAATCATGTATTTAATAATTAAAACTATACTCTTATACAAAGCATGCAGTATCTACTCTTAAGTAAAACAGACTGTCAGCCTGTGAATATCTGTAAGTTCTCCTGACAACTGCAAAAGCCTACATGGTGTGGCACATCCAAACCTGTGGTGTAACCTCCACAAGGACTTACCAGAAAAATGCGTGCTGCTCCCTTTGCCTGTTGCCAGGTTGTGAATATTCATTCCATGGCTGGGACTCATGCTAGGACTACTGAATGACCGTGGGCTAACAGGGTAGCTATCTTGAGATTTGGGGCTGTGGCCTCCCAGGCACCGCACCTCGCTGTCTGTACCATTCACCATCTCTATGAACTGGCGCACCCTAAACAAAAGGCAAAACCAGTTAAGCTCATAAAGCTGTTTATGTATTGCCATCTACCAACCACAGCAACGATTTCATTTTAGTGTTAAACATACAAAAAGTCTGACTCAACAAAATGCTGGATGTCAGTAAACCCATCACCAATAAGGCCTGGAGTATTCAGCCAAAAATACACAATCACAAAATTTGTGAGGGAGGAGAACAGGAATATTATCTCTTAGGGACAGACTTTGTCAGTAAGTCCTCAAAGTTTAGAGAACTAAACAGTATTTTCCTGGTTTAACTGTTCTGTTTTACTGGCAGGGGCAAGGTTGTTTCCTGAGAAGTGTATGTGGCTATGTTGTCGTGTCTGTCATTTCTCTAAGTAAACAAGAACATCTTTTTTCTGTCTGGAACAGTAAGCATGGAATAATAACTCCAAACATTAAACATTTGCACTAGGAAACAGTTTGAGAAGCAAGCTCATATACAAACCTTCCCTTTAGAGGCTGTTGCTCTTTGTCAGTTTTACTTTAGATAAGGAGGTTTTACTATGGACTTTAAGGAAGCTCAGAAGCTTTATGTTTTAGGCTTGGACAGCCTCAATAGAACAGGCAAAATTCAGCCAGATTGAGAAAAAGATAACATACAGCTGATGTTATCCAGTGAAGTCTTTCATCACAGCGTCTGCACTTTGAGTTCCAGCACTATCACATGAACTCTGTTCAGCACTTGAGCGTGACAGAATTCAAACACATTCCAAGTTACTTAACTGAACATAAAAACTAAAGTGCTTTGTTGTTCTGATAGGAGAGAACAGATTTTTTCTGCATTCAAACACTACAACGGGATACAAAATTCTGGAGTATCAGCGCAGCTGGCAAGTAAAAATGCCAGCATGAAGGTGACTATTGTGTGCCTGGAAAGCCAAGAGAACTCTCTGGGATTATGGAATTTCTACAGCATTAGCCAGAGGCTTCTAGCAAAGTGACATGCAGCTCACTTAGGCTGCTCTTTAAAGTCAGTCACCCAATGGTAGGAGCAGACCAACTTATACCAGCAGGACACTCAACCTTCTTGAGAAAGATACTATCTCACTTTATAGTTTAAGTTTTACTTGACACCCAAACTGATCAAAAAACATTTTAAAAATTACAAAAAGAACCCAGTTCTATTGAACAAGTCTACAGTGGGGTGTGAATTATGCTGCAAAACAGGACCTTGATGACAAAGCCTAGTTAAACATGTAGCAAATAATATAGCATAAAAAAGTGAACTATACACATTTTCTAAAAAACGCTGCTTAACTTTGTTTAAATTTCTGTGAAAGCTTTAAATGAGTAACTCTCTTGTCTCAGAAGGTACTGTGCCATCTATAAACACACATCTGTATAATTTGAAGACTCACTTTAATGCAAATAAGAGATTAGGATTTCTTTCTAGTAAACTTGGATACAACTGTTGTGTTGTTTCAATGGCTTCTCCCATTCTTCCTGCTAAAACCAATTTCTGAATTCCTGTTCACCAAAAAACAAATAAGAGATTAGGATTTTTTTCTAGTAAACTTGGATACAGCTGTTATGTTGTTTCAATGGGTTCTCCATTCATCCTGCCAAAACCAGTTTCTGAATTTCTGTTCACTAAAACCAACATCAGTTAAATGGACAGCTTATGGATTAATACATGTAAATTCACGATTCAAAGACACTGCAACCATCAACAAGGTTTTTTTCCTCTTAGAAAAAAGATAGTGTAAAGAAAGATCATGCTTCCTTAAAATGTTCAAAAGGAAAATTTTGGAACTGCAGCACTCCACCTACATGTATCTAAATGAGTACTCAGGATTTTATTTATGGCCAGCATACAAGCCCTTTGTACTCACATTGCACATGCAGAGCTAGATTAAGATTGCAGACACTCTTCTGCCATTTATTTCTCATTTTCACACCTTTATAAATAAACACATACCAAACTATTGTCACCCAGGAACATCCAAATTGCATCCCACTCCCGCAGGTTCAATTTTAAACAAAACCCAAAATTTAGACTCTCACCTACAATTCATAGTGCTGGTCAGGTTATACTCGACTAAACCTTTCTGCAGCAGCCCCTGCTTGAGTTGGTGCTCCCGTTGCTGTAACCTGGCACAAGCTGCAAACAGCCTCACAGCTCTATCCACTGACAGAGAAATTGTTCCCAATGAAAAGCAGCCCAACACATGGGTCATTTTTCAACCAGAGCAGTTTCCCCACGTGGAGTGTCCCGCAGTCACACAAATGCTTGTGCTACCCAGCAGGGACTTAGGTGCTGCACAGTCAGGTGCCAAGCAGCACTGCCACAGCAGGTTACAGCTGAACTGCTGTTAGTTCTCCTTGTCCTCTTCCCCCTCACGTCTATGAGCAGGAAAACTCAAATTTCATGTAACTTATAAAGCATTCTCTGCACTGCACTCCTTTCCAGTTAGAAGTCTAAACATCTTCACGACCATGTTTTCTATTTCTGTTTGTGACCAACCATTAATTCTCACAAACACCCGTTTAGAGACATTACACACATTTGCTTAAGACAGGTCATAATTTTCCACTCAAGAGAAAGACAACAGGTAATTCACCACATTCTGCTACATCAAATAAGTTCCAGCACGTTAGTCTGGAGGTTCATCTTAACCAGCTGTCAGCTTTGTATGACAGCAAAGAACTTACTATGGAGTAGTGCTGGAAGGAAATGCTACAATGATGCTCAAGAGAAAGTTTTATGGCATGTTTGTTTAAGATAGCAGGTAAAAAGAAGGATGTAACGTGCTTTCCAGCCTTACTTTGTCTATTTTTAATGGAAGCTAATTCTTCTAACACAGTCTGGTCTGTGGATCTGGCGAATGCCTCTGCTGTTGCACAGTATCCATGGTGAACTAAGTAAGATGATACCATTCTAAAAATAAACAAAAACAAAACCCAGAAACACTCATTAAAATCAGGTAAGAAACCAAGAACTTCGACCATAAAAACCGTTTCCTGAAAAAAGTGACTCAGTTGAAGACTTCTACTTGAAACTCAAATTTCTGTACAAGTCAGACAAAAGTAATTCAGTTAAGAGCCAGTATCTTCTTTGAAACACTGTACAGAAAAATAATTTTAAAATCAATGTATGATTTCATTAGTATCAATTTTAATAAAAATTTTTCATCACTCAGAGGTAGGCTCAATTAAAATATTACCTGATAGTTTTTTTTTCTCATTACATGCACTGAAGTGAAATTTCTGCACACTAATTCTTTGTTTTCACTGAAGAAATAAAAAATGTAAAGCCACAACCATTTTTTCTAAGTGAGACACTAATGAGCCACAGCTTAACCTTTAAATGAACAATATTCAAAGTCTTACTTCTGGATCATTGTTTGCCACTCTCCTTCCCGATCTCCTATGGGAAATCTGTCAATCTGTGCTTGAATTTTGGTTCTCCACTCTCGCATGTAGTCTTCAATATCAAACACAAATGGGTGTTGCCCAAAATTAGCATCCACAACCTCTCCTGGTGTTTGGAGCCCTACTGTAGGGTACAAGTTTGGCTGCAAGAAATTTTTTAGTTAGTTTTTTTCCTCTTATTCTTAATTCCCCAGTTCCTTTTTTTTTTTTTTTTTTTTTTTAAAAAAAACTTTTTTCTAGTATCCCCAGTGCTACCAGTAGTGTGAAGCAACAAACACCTCTGGAACTTCTGTTCAGCACTTAAAGCAACTTCTACCAATCCAGCAACACAATGACTGATTAATTTTACTCCCAGTGGTCATAATTTTTTCATTTTGAAATCAGAAAGCCTTACTGATTGTCCTCTTTATAGTCAGAAAATGCACTTGTTAAGCTGTGCTAAACTTGATAACTTTTGGGTTTAATTTTACAAAGTATTAAATACCAATTTTAAAATTATTTTTAAAGACCAGGATTAAAGTTTCTTTTAAAAAGAACAAAAATTAAACTCACAGAAAGGGACATTTACCTTTTGGGGTAAGATACTTAAAACATCACTGAGTTTTAGTGCTAAGAACTGACAGGACAGAGAACTCATTAGCCTCAAAATCCAAGTGTAGTGCCTAAAAGGAACTGTAACTGTGCACTGAAGTTCTTGTGAATTCCTGGATTTGTATCTAGAAAAAGACTTCAAAGCACTTATTGTTGTCTCAGTTCTATTTTCTGCTTAGAGATGAGGTCTCCATGCAAATTTGAAATATGCCAAAGGTGAGAAAAGTAAAGTCTGCCTGTTGAGATTGAAGTAACTTTCTTAAAAGCAACAGCAATGGAATCAAGCTGGGGTTCTGGGTGGGTGGGTAGAGGTCTGCTGCTGTTTATTTTTATTATTATTTATAAATATATTTATACCATATTTACACCACAGTCAATGGTGTATAATGGTATGCTACCTACAGAACTGAATTCTAATGGAAATAAAGCTACTAGTAAGAAGTTATCCATATGCAGGGCAACTGGAACACTGAAGCCCAGTAAAGTTAAAAAATACTCTGGTTGTTAAAACCCATACCCAAGCTGATCTTGCCCCCTTTCTCTGCACCACAACTCCCTCTTCCTTTTTTTAATTTATTTTTTAAATAAACCTTGCTCATAGAGTTACCTAGTCCAGCCTGATCAACAAAGCCCAAGTCTCAAATCTCAAAATGAAACTAAACCAATCATTTGTAATGAGGAGCTTCAAACTTCAGACTGGAGTGTCAATCTTCCTGTGCTGGGAGCCCACACATGCAGGAGGGTGGCAGTGGCTTCCTACACAAAGCACCCAACCCTGTGGCAGGGCGAGAGGTGCTCTGGGTTACTGATGTCACTTGCCTTGCTATCTGCCCTTGCCCCCTAAGGCCACAGCACAAGGAGCAGCTGGCCAGATGGAAGGGCATCCCACGCTGCACCCTAACCAGACCAAATCAGAAATGAAGTGTATAAGAAAAAATAAAAAGTTCAGTCTCATGCCTGTACCAGCTGCAAAGGGAACACAATTATAATGACTTCAAGGCAAGTACAATTTAACTGAATGAAAAGCTAGAAGACATTGGATACCTGCAGCTTCCTTTAAAAAAATAATTACTTTGAGATGTTTGGTGTTACAGAGTGAACGTTATAGAGAAAGGTTTTGAAAGTCAGGCATCAAGCACGAGTTCCAGTGAGCATGTCTCAAGCAAAATATGTAACAACTACTTGTATGCATTATTTTCTGCTAAACTTTCATTAGAACTGTTAAAAACCTGAAAAGGAAAAAGCTTGTGAGGATCGCCGTAAAAACAAGGAACTTTTTCCTGCAATTAAGAAATCGTCACTGAAACGATGAGAAATATCCAATACTAAACTGGTTAACAAGATTACCATTGTATTTCCAAGAAGGGTAAGGTAAATGCAAGTTACATCTGAAAGATCTGTTTATAATAGAAAGGAAAGCTGCTTGAAAACGCACTTATCTTACCGGTAAATCTGTGAAAGCGATGCCTGTAATGAAGAGAAAATTAAGATTAATTTCCATGTGGCTGGATTCTAGCCTCATTTTCTTAAGTATATCATTCTACGTTCAGAAAGCTCACCCAAAACACCTCAGAAATAGGTATGGTGACATCCATGATGCTTAGGCACAACAGATGGGCTTGAGTAAAAAAGGGCAATATTTGGCAGAAAGTAGCTGTCATTCAAAAGTACTCAATTTGTCCTCAATTTTTCAAAATAGGGCATAAGATTTAGCAAACATCACACAGATCTGCAGATTATAAACTATAAATTAAGAGAAAAACAAATATCTGAAGGCATTTTTCCATTTGCACACCTCACTGCTGCAGCACCAAGGTTTAGCTGTGTCATTTCATGTTGGCTGTTACTCTTCTTCACAGGCACACATCATCTTTACAGGAGCAGCATGTGCCTGTCATGTTTACCTGACTGCTTTGGAGAGTGTCACCCTAATCCATGCCAGGGTGTTTTGGTTTTCAAACAGAATAGCTTAATACCTTATTACATAATTACAAGCCTCCATCTACTCTTAAGACCAAGGAGTGACTTTTCTGCCTCAGAACCAGATAAAAATCTGACCCCTATAGACTTCAGGAACTTCACACAGCCAGGAGTGGGGGAAGCTTTCAGCCAAAAAATAAGTATCAGGTAATCTCCTCCTGCCAGCCACATGATAACGGCACTTCATAATTCCCTTTATTATTGCAAGTATTTATTCAGATTTATTTTTTAACAAGTGCATAATGATACTAATCCAGTTAGCCTTCAAACTTAGTTTGTATTGCTGCCTTTCCAAATTTAAGATTAAAACAAAGCTTTTGATCTTTTGTTCTATTTGATCTTTTGTTCTGAATTCCACTCCTGCTTCCATCTCCAGTGTTCATTAAGATCTCAAATCTCAAGAGCACCTGGACTCCCTGCTCCCATCTTTGATACAAATAGAGTGAATCCATTTCTCCCCATTGCATCTCAAAGCTATAATTTTATTTATTACCTGTTCATAGCCTTTTTCCCTAAGCTACCACCACTTTCCCTGGCACATTTTGATATCCAACTTGCCCTTTTCTAAAGTAACCATATCAAGTAGGCAAGCCAGATAAATGACAAATGATTACTGAAATGTAGGTACTGGTGTTTTCAGGTTTGGTTGGTTTTTATTTCTCTGTTTTGGTTTGGTTTTTTTTTTGGGGTGGGGTAGTGGTTTGCTTCTGTCTTTTAACCCAGGATTTCACACTTGCATAAATAATTGATTAGCCCTTTTTCATAGCATCAAAACCCAGGCTTAGCCAGAGATTTTCAATACTCTAGACTGCACCTGTGGCCTAGAGAAGAAACACAGATATCCTCCAAGTCACCACCATACAGGAATTCTGGTCAAGCAGCAGCAGGGACTGCTCAGCAAGACAGACAAAATGTCCCATTTCTTCTTCCCCTAAACACACAATCAGTTTTCCTCTGGGAGAAATTCAAGCTAGCAAAGCCCATGAGAGCAGCACAGCCACCAGGTTTCCTTCTGAGATCCATGAAGTGTTTATCAGACTCTGCCTATGACAGATGACCCTTTATTACCCTCTCCTCACCTGTGCCATTCTGCTCTCCTCAGATTTTAATCACTTCCAGAATTTTCACTGTTGGCCTAATCAGTTTGCTTTAAGACTTCCATTGAAAAGTCAGTCTTGCTCCCTTCCTTCTTATTAGCTCTTACATGTGTGTGCCCATAAGGGTAGTCAGAAAACCAGTGTCTCTTTAGGTTATTAACAAGATGATCCAACTTACCTGCAGGCACACTGTTACTAGTCCCAAAAAGGGAGTAAGGCAAGACTAACCTTCTCAGCTTTAACCCAGTTAAATATTAGAGTAAATACAACATGAACCCATTGTCTTGCATGTTGACACATACCCTGAAACAGGGCCAAAAGAAACAAGTACATAGTGCATGGTTCAAGTGTCTGCCACAGGTGTCCAGGTATAAAGACTCACCCAATTTATAAGAAACATTAACTCATGACAGACTAGAATCACAGAAGCAATTACTTGGATTTGACTTCTGGAAGCACCTAAACCCTGCCTTGAGTAGGGGCAGGAAAACTCCAAAATTAAATGTTTGCTCAGGGCCTGAGCAAACAGACAGGCAGTCTTGTTCTGAGAGATGAGAAGAATTTAAACCATGTCCTTCTACTTACTACCTTCCAAACTTTCCCCATGTTTGGCCATGTGATGAAATAGAACAGTGGACTTCCAGAGTCCCCATCTCTGAATTAATTTTAAGCTAACATCTCTTTTCCTTATTACACTCCTAACGATGACAAAAATCTTATTTCTTCTTTCTGAGCTTTATCACTTTAAAGTTCCTACCCCCTTCAGCACAATTCCAAGATCTCTTCCCAAGCCTTTGCTCTCTCCTTAACACCAGTAGATTTTTTTTCTTATTTCTTCACACACTGTATCTTTGCTCATTAAATTGCATTAACTGAATTATTATACATATTGCATCAAAAATTTTAACTCTACCCAATACTGACATCTTCAAACTCAAAAATTGTCTTGCAGTGACTAAAATTTACCACAAGAATTGAATAGACTTAATTTTAGCACAACTTGTATAATTCATGGCTTGGTCCCAACTACATGACTCCACACAGGGAATCCAAAGGAGACTGTTCTCCAACACATGCTTGAAATAACACCTACCCAATGCAAAGTTTTAGTGAAGGCCCCATGTCCCACACAGCAGCAATGAATTTAAGGTATATCCAATCTCCATTTTACTTATTACCTATTACCTTATAAACACCAAGTATTAGTTGTGGGTTTAGTAGTAGAGCTCATAAACACAGGTCATGTGGAATGAGGTGCTACAACAAATCCTTCCAGACTCACATGGAATGTTAATGTATGTAGCACACATGAAATTACTCTTCCAAATCCATTAATTCATAGATGAGACTATCAAAAGTACTCAAGCAGCGCTTCATTCCTGACACAGAGAGAGTTTCAGACTTGCAAGAAACGTACAGACATAATGTTATCAGTAAAGATAACGTTTCTCCATACCCAAGCTGTGTCCATTCTTTGTGTAGAAGCAGGTATTATTGATAAGGTTGACACAACAACCGATGACATCACCCGTAGTAAACGTAGGGCCGTAGGGTTGTCCAGTTCCAGAGGAACAGAATGAATGTCCATCATCTCCATGGTAACCATATGAATGTTTATCCCAACCTAGGGAACAAAAGCATTTGCAAGTTATTAATTTCATTTATTATGAAATAATAGAAAGGCTATGCAAAGTTTTTATACTCTAACCAGGTTAATGTAGTTAATTACTGTGACCAGCGTTCTGCTTCTTAAGCTTTCTTGTCTAACAAATCTGTTTCATTTTTTTAAAATGACAACTTCTTTTATCAAAATGGCTGAATGGGTTAATTCCTCTGGTAGTAGGCAACAGGTAATGCAAATTCCAGTAACACATTTTTCTCTTTAAGGGAACACACAAAACTATCAACACCAGAAGTATCCTCAGCTACGATGTTGGAATTTGAAGCGCTATAGGTGGATCTGACACGTCGCAATAAAGCAGTGAAGAGTCCTGTTCTCCCCTTCGTCTTGCAAAACTACTGCTACCATATGTCATAATCGAATTCTTCCTGGCTGAAACCCAAACAGGCATCTCTGGGGAAACACATTTCTACTCCTGATTAGTCACTGATACCCAGTGACTATTCAGCAGCAAGCAGCCTCTGCAGAACAACAAAATCTCCAGACTAGCTTTGCTTTCCATGAAAATAAAAAGAAGGGGGGAAAAAAAATTATCAATAGAGGTGAAAGTCACAGCCAGCAGGCAAAACATTATGTATGCAAATATGGTGCTAGTTTTGCAGGTGAAGAAGCTGCAGAAGCGTTAAAAAGCTCCTTATTGCTACGCTACTCAGTGAAATCCACAGCAAGCCATTTTAGGCTGAGTTCATTTAAAAATACCTGTCCAAAACAGTACTAAACAAAAACACTTAGTAAAGGAGGAAACATCTAGGCACCACAAATCTTCCTAACAAATCTGTTAAATGTCTATCCAGAACAATATAAAGCATAATCTCTAACACAAATTTCAAAATTCCATATATATATGCACATTCTGACTATTAAGAAGTTATACTGACAACTAAAATTATTTTTCAAGATAAAACGTTGTGGTTTTATTCTTCTGTCAAGCTGCTGCCTAAAAGGTTTGAAAGTATTTTTCATACTTAGACCCTTAATCTGTATCATCAGTAGCTTCAGCTGGCACCACGTTCAGCATCTATCAGTAAATTAAATACCCCAAATTACTGCAGTTACATTGATTAGTAAGATCTTTGATAATTATTTGCAATGCATCCCAAATCATACTCAAACTTGATGCCACCCACTAATAATTCATCACCCTTAGCTGGGCTCACAGTGTAACTGGGACTTGCTGTCACCAAAAGGATTTCTACCAGAACATTTGGGTGAGGAAGTACAAATAAAAATAAAAAAAAATAGAGAGTACAGATACTCAGAAAAAAAAGAAAGCTCATCCTATTGAGGATGGAACCAACATCTTCCTAGGTAGATGTCACCTACCTACTATTGAGGTTGGAGAGTAACAGTATGGAAAGTGACAGCAGGAGTGCTCACTCCATGTCTGACAACAAGGTTTACAAAGCAAGGAAATCTTCAGCTTTGTTTTTATCAGGAAAGGTGGTGAAAAACTTTAGGATGTCTTTGTTTGCTAATAGGTATCTGTATAACATTATAAATAACACGAAGTTGAGGGAAGTAGTACAAAGCAAATACACAGTAAAAGCTAGACTTGTTAGCTGCAAGCTTTACATAATTCAAGTGACAGATAAAACATGTAGATGTGACGCTGCATTCCCTGCTGCTCACCAGAACCCTCCTACAAAGGTCAAGCACATTTTAAAAACCATTATCCAATGTAAGTAACTTATCAAATGTAGTAAATACTGAAACATACCTGGTAGTCTGTTCATGTTCACACCCTGTGCCGAAAGCCCAATTCCCATGTAACTGTAAAAATGACAGAACAAAAGGATTTATCTGTCTCTTACAAAAATACATGTTTATGTGGGATACTGCCACAAAACACTATGTTGATTAATCATATACTAGTTAAGCTGCTGGGAGGTCATTTAATAGCAAGGGAGAGGGAAAGTAATTCCTCATATGTAGGGTTTAATACAGACTGATTCTGTCCCTGCAACTTATTTCTCTTTAAGGCATCCTGGGTTATTGATGGAGAACAGTGACACCAGCCATAAGTTTAAAACATGAACAAAGAAAGCCAAAGGCCATGCCTTAGCTTGAAAGCAGGGCTAAAACTATACATGTACCAATTTCATCACCTTCAACATAATTAATCATGTTTGGCAAACAATGTGAAAGGAGTAATTTTACAGAATACATGCAGAACTGAATTATTTCAGTAGCAAATTCCATCCTTACACAGCATGTGTGAAAAGATCACACTGAAATATTAAAGGCCTGGATCAGAGAGCAGAATGCTACCTTGAGAAATCTACCAGCAACGTTATTTAGCTGTTGGGAATCTCCTGGCAAACTAAAGAGGCGAAATACAGATTACTGGTTAGTAGACTATAAAAAGCCTAAACAAGTTATGGCTAGGTCAATAAAGTCCAAAAGTCAGCTTTACAAAAGGTAGTTGTAATAAACTCAGCATCCAGTACAATTGCTAACAATTTAATAGCCAACACTGGAAAGCTGAAATGAATAATCTTCCCAACCCCGAATCACACTACTTGAAGTCAGTAAAAGCAATTTTGCTTCCATTTCTTAAGCAAAACTTAATTCATGACTAAGAACCCAAAAAGAAAACCAGCATAATGAAAAGGTAGGCTTTCACCAACTCCCTCCTGCCCAAAATGCACCAAACCTCCCTCATCAGCTAAAGAAAGCATCCAAAAAAAATCACCTAAACCTACTATTTCCTAGTTTAACAAAACATTCAAATCATTCTGACATAGTTCAAAGTACTTAACAAGATTTTGCCAGGAAATAATAAACTGTATGAAAGAAAAATATTCACCCATGCCAACTTGAAAATAGTTTAAGTCAACATACATGACCTTTGTATTCCCATCTCATAAAATGCAATTTTTAAGCAACTACTCTAGTAAGAAGAGCAGGTTAATCTGCTATTTTAAATACATTTCATATAGAATGAAACTGAGCAGCAAATCTCAGGAGTCATATGCTTAATTGTGTACTGGGCTTTCTGCTTTTTCTATTGATCACTTCCAATAGTCCCTTCATGTGCTTCTACCTTTTACACTTGCAAAATTCTATTGTATGACATCATCTCCCTCTCCCTCCAACATACCAGCATGAAATGTAACTTCAGAACCTTATATAACAGATACTACCTCTAGAGATACAGAAGAGCTGAAGCAAAAGGCAACAAACAAAAGGATGAGTCTTTGCTGCATTGCTAATCACTCTACTGAGGCACCACTGCAACAGCAAAGCCAGTGAAACAATGATCAATGAAAGCAACAAGTGGGAACCCCTTGAAATCATCTTAAATAATAAAGGCAGAATTGTTTTTAGCACAGTCTGGAGTTTGACATATGGAGGATCTCATGTAAATCTATTAGTGTGAAGTCTCCTGTTAAGGAGAATTTATTAAACAAAGGAAATTTATTTTTAAAAATAACTTTAGATAACTCCACCAACTGCAAAAAGCCTTTCAACTGAGTCATAGTGAAAAACTCTTCATCCCAACCGAGTTTCATTTCAAGTATGCTTACAGAAACAAGATGAAGGTTACACAAAAATGTAAAATGCTAAATAGCAAATCATCATCAAGGTAACATGTTGGTACTGCCTGCTTTTCCTCCCTCAGGTATTGTATCTTCTGAGCCCCCTCTAACACACTAGCAACTGCAAACTCAGAACACTGTATACAACTGTATATAGCTGGGAATAAGGATTCTTAACCCACTGGCAACGACTAGAAGACAGTAAGCACTGATTCCATCTCAGTAAGAAGATGGATGTTAAACAGCATGTATTTTTCCCTGAGATTCACACACAATTACTTGGAACATTAACAGCATTTCATCACAGAGACTTGGTATTAATAGAAACTCAAATAAAAGCAGATTAAAAACATTTCAAATAATTGACACATTTACTATAGACATCTTTCAAAAGGAATTCTACAATATATGGTTTGGAAGTGAGTGAAATTAAAGGCTTATCAATTAAGCTAATTTATTATTTGTCATAGTTGATGGATAACTGATTTCATGTTATATATACATTATAAATGGAGAACAGTACCACAAGAGATAGGCTTTAGAAGCTATAAAATTCATCAACAGGAGTTGTATTTATGCCAAACCACTACATGTCGCTTTTTTTTTTTTCTTGGCTCCTGTAAGCTTCATAGGCTTAAAAAGACATTTTGGTTGGTTTTTAAAGTAGTTTGGGCCATATTTAGGGTCCAGAATCACTGTCTGGAAAACAACTTGTTTCAGTGAGAGGAATTACATAAACTGTCCTCCTGTTTACTTCCTTAAGGTTCACCTATCACATGTCTCGGGATCAGACCAGTTGCAGAGCTGTACATCTGTTTTGCTCCCCTAGTCCATGACGAAATGCAGGGCAGCACAAGCAGCAGCTGTGCCAGCACCCAGGTGCAGTGCAGGCCCAGCCTGTTCTCAGTCTGCCCATGATGCATTTCCTGCCCTCCTGTCACACGAGTGGGTTTGGTCTAGGAGGCAGCTGCAGATGGGAGGAACAGGTCCACACAGATTACGTCACGCCGTAACATCAGCCCTGGGGAAAGGGGGATGTCAGCACCAGGAAGCAGCACGCTCACTCTGACATGCAGCACCCCCCAAAAACGGACGTGCCCCAGCGTGGCCCCAGAGAGCGGCATGGGTGAATAATGGTGTGGCTCTGACGCCATCGCCCTCAGCGCTCCCCTCCATGCCTGTGGCTGCTGCCTCCACCTCAGCTCCCCGCCCACGGACATTCCTGGCTGCTGCAGTGGGAGGACCACTCACCAGGCCAACAGAAGGAAGTGGTGGGACCATTTTAATTAGGGACTCCATCTTTCCGAGTATTTCAGCCCCACCAGTGGCTATTCATCACTTCATTAAAGTGCTCAAGCCCTACAGGAGCTCATAACATCACAAACAACACGTAAAAGCACTCATGGAATACATAAAATCAACCCATAAGTGACTGAAATAAGAGACTATGGCTGAAGATAGATTTAAAGTGCAGCCAAATTGCTATTAAGGACCAAGAAAGCAAGAGCACCTTACACACTCTTAATTTCAAATGGTATTTATTCTTGTTCCAGTTCATTAAAGATACAGATTACCATGTTAGTGTTTCAGTGCATCTTCTAGGTTGTTTCACAGTTGCAACTCACAATAGAAGTGTTTAGGAATACTACAGAACTAAAGTTTTAAATTTCATGAAGATTCAGCTTTTTGCCACAAAGCAAGAGGTCAGTGTTAAAAATACAGGCACTAGGATACCTTTTTTCCCACTAAAACAGACTGAAAGGCCTAGGCTTTGCTGCAGTGAAACGTGTAACCAACAGCAAGCTTACAACAATTATTTTCTCTTCAAGTCTCCTTTCAGCCAAAAGAGCTCAACTCACAGTTTTGCTGGATGCCTGAATAGACTAAGTGTGAGAAATAAAAAGTCAGAACCAAACAGAAGGAAAAAATAGCAGTAAGTTATGGTACAGAACTGGAGACTGTTAAAACATAAGGAACAAGAAAAAAACCTAGCAGTTTATATAAAAGATACACAATTCTGATTTTTACTTGAAACTTTTCAGTTAGATCTTTTAACCACTGTATTGAAGGTGTGTGGAAGATTTTTCAATATGGAATTTGCTAATAATCAGAATTCAGGTTAATTATATCCTATCTCACCTACTGCATAAAGAGGAATACAGAATCTCAAAAACAATACCAAATCACAGGTACCTCAAAGTTTATTAGTGGCAAAAGAAATAACCATTTCTCTAGCAACAACAAGAAAAAAGACACCCAATGTTCTATACTGTACTTGTAAAAACAAGTAGAATAATTTATTATATCTTTAAATAATTTTTTTTTTTAAAAGTTAATAGACTCCCTACCACAGAGATTTCATTAGCAATCTACCTGAAAAGAGTCAAATTCCTTCTCACTTCCACTGTGCAACGTGTTCTATTAAAGGCAGTATAACCTGGGGAACTGCTACATCGTGCTTCAAAATCCAAACTCTTCTGGTGATGATGAAAGTAAACACCAACCTGGGTATCTTATCAACTACATGCTATACATTTAAACAAAGCACTTCCAACCACACAATGTTAAAATCTATGTTACAATAATATCTGTAAGGAACCCAAGTCCAAGCATGAACAGATGTTTACACCATAAATAAGGCAACTGAAAACATCCCGTTTCAAACGCATTGACTAGTACGAAAAGCAGAATTAACACTCTGAAAGAAATGCAGGATACAAAGCAGGCTATATAGCAGTTTTTCTTACTGTCCAGTTTATGTTGTAGAAAATGGTACAAGAAGAAAGGACTGCAACATCTGTAAGCATTTTAAGACCAAATAATCTTCTAAAGGGCCTTTGCAACTGATGTAAGAAGTCTGAATGATGTTCTCCTGCAGTTTACACTGTCTTCACTGACACTATACTAGAAGGTCAGAAATACACCACACTAAAAAGGTATCTAAATTTCACCTTTAATACAGTTACTCTGCATTAACATTTTGTAGAAATATGTTAATCCCAGATTCTTATTGTCTGCACAATCACAGCGAGAAATGAGCTGTTAAATTTTTCCTCTATTTAAATGTTTCAAAATATGCCATAGACAGTTTGAGTCTTTCATTTCAAATTGAAAACAAGTTTAATTTTATGGAATGTTTCCAAGGAAACAGTATTTTGAACATGTTAAACCCAGGTTTCAGATCAATCCAGTTCTACATGGAGAGGAAAAAAAAACGTAAAAAAAAAGGCA